AAGAAAAAAGGAAGGCTGGGGAGGGTTAACCTGGCTCTTGCCAGTGACACCTCCACCTGCAGCATTCTGTCTCTGCTCTCTCCATGACACCATGGCCCAAGGCTCGAATCCTGCTCTACGAGGCAGGATTAAGCATGGCACTTAGGAAAGGGGAAAGGGTTTAACTTGTGGTACACCTGTCAAAAAGTTTGGTGATCATGGGTCTGGCCACTGACCTGTGGAAAAGTCTCTGACTGTTTAAGTTACTTGGAGATTTTTTAGTATTATTGTATATTGTCAACTAAAGCCACAATGTAGTTGGAAATGAAAAGGCACAAAATTACTGTGCGCAATCCTCAGGCATGCTGTGCAGTTTTTAAGGTGCTACATCCCCAGCTGGAAGCAGTGTGGCCATGTCCATAGTGTGGAGGGTGGGCCAACTGTCGCTCAGCAGTGGTAAGTAGTCCAGTTGGGGGATACAACTACACTACTTACAGCAGAGGAGGGGGTAGTGCATAGAGATTAGCTGGTATGTCTGAAAGCACTGCCACAAGGCATGGTGAACCTCTGAGCTAGAAATGGCCAAAGGTGTCTCTTTCCAATTCCCACTGAAACTGGTTCCAAAGCTCTTATCTTCCTGTTCAGTTCCAGAATGTCTAGAATCTCATTGTTCTCTTACATGCGGCATATTAAGTTTCATTTCTTCTTCTTCTTTGAATTTCAAAACTGAAAGTGACAGTAGTCAGATAGAGGAGGAATTGAGAGAGAAACTGACAGACTAGTATTACACAGAATAGAAAGGGGCATCCTTGGGCTTATCTACATGTGGCCCTTTTAAGTGGGATTAGACTAAAAATTGCCACACGTGTACCCTTAATGTGCCTTAAAATGGCAATTTTAGGCTAATCCCACCTAAATTTGATACCTGCTTAAAGCAAGTACCAAATTTAAGCTGGCATAGCGAAGCAACATTAGTTCACATGTAGATGCTTAATGTGCATTAGCACAGCTACACATGCACTAATGTGACTTAGCTATGCCAGTCTAAATTTAATGTGCCTTAATGTGCATTAGCGTGTCTACGTGTATACATATGCCTAAATCACCTTAATGCACCTTAAACAAAGGTACATTAAGTTTAGGCATGTGTAACTACATGTGTAGACACTTCCCTTGTCTTTTAGTTAAATACAACCCATGCACATTTGCACAGGTAAAAGTGTGGTCTGAGACTCTACAGTGATTATATTTTGTTACTGAAGACTAACGATACATTATATTTAGGGATGTGGCTGATACAATGTTAAATATTTTCTGTTTGATTTCCAGGCAAATTACATTCATCTTGTTAAATGTTATCTCTGAATCAGACAGTGATTTTTAGAAACATTAGACAACCCAGATGTGAGTACTACCCGTACAGGATTTCCAGGTGCTGTGAAAGACCAAAAGATTCCCCTTGCTGACTCTCTGAAAAGAAACATTGGCTTTTACCACAAAGGTGTTACGTTTTTAAGTTAGCTGGGTACAGTGTTATGTGTAAAAAATAATTTGGCAGATCAAAGGGAGGATGTTACATATAATTCTCTGTATTAGCTCTAGCATTATTGGAATGGAGGTACATATTCTTGTATTCCGGTTTAAATAATATATTCTCCCTGCTACTTGCATATAATTACTGTTATTATTAATGTGGCTTACCAAATGCTGCAAGGGGGAAAAGGGATTTTTTAAAGAAAACTGTTAGTAATTTGGTTTACTAAGATTTGAGGGCCCATGTGGTGAAACAGGGTTGATGACACAAAATATACATGAAGTCAGTTAGTTAATGACTGTTTAACTGGAAATGTGGTCAAAATACAAGCAAAAGAAAGTTGTACCTGGTGTGACAATGTGTCTAATAAATAAAAGGATATGTGTAAGTGGCTTGGACAATTCCAATTTGCAGTACAAAGACTTTGTCCTAGAAACTGATGATTACCGTGGGCTTGTGGGAAAGGCAAAAACATAAGATACTGGATTAGTTTATAATGACCAATTTTATTGGTAATCCAGCCTGCACTGGTAGTGACTAAAAGCTATTCTAATAGGTAGTTAGAAGCCAGTGAACTGGGTTGGTAAGTCTCAGGTCTCAGATCAGTTTGTTGTTGGCAAATGCCTACATCACAAAATCATAAACCTGCAGCTGGTCCCTGGTGTGGCACAGAAACAAGGGACAGAATAGAAATGTAGGGTGTTTAGTTCTGTCAACAGCTGACAGATCTTCCAACCTGAGAAGACTTCAGGGGGATTTGGTGGCAGCTTACAAATATATCAAGGGTGAGCATCGGGGACTAGGCGAACAACTAGTATTGAAAGCGCCCCAGGGGAAAACCAGGAGCAACAGTCATAAACTCCTAGAAGAAGGTTTCAGACTGGATATAAGGAAAAACTCCTTCATGGTTCATGTGACCAGACTCTGGAATAGACTTCCAGTGGGGGTGGTGCAAGCACCTACCATGGAGATCTTTAAAAGGAGACTGGATGTACACCTTGCTGGGGTTATGTGACCTCAGCAGTCTTTTCTGCCCAGAGCAGGGGGGCTGGACCCGATGATTGAAGCCCCTTCCAGCCCTAAACTTCTGTGAATCACATGGATAGAATCCATTCTACTACTGTCATGTAGAGAAATGAAAGAGCTGCATAATGTCTGTGTGCATGCATATACATGTGCATGCATGTGCATGTAAAAGCCATGATAAAGAAAATGGACAGAAACAAGATTTTTGAGAAAACATTCTTGCTTGTTTTGGACTGTAAAGTAAATCAACTAATATGCGTACACATGGGGCAAAATTGCAGCCACAAGATTAAAAGCCAGGTTAAAATTCATGTTCTATTTTGGCATGCTAAGGAGGCATCAATCAGTGAAATCTGACCAGCTCAGCTGTAACTGGTATCAACAGGATACTTAGTGGTCCACCTATCTGGTACAGGAAAGAAAAGGAAGCACTGATACTGTTATCCTGTTAGCAGTGAAGTAGAGATGAGTTGAACTGATTAATCAATGTGCCCCCTGGCCATGGTGCCCTAGGCAATCACCCATGTCGCCCACCCCTAAGGCCAGCTCTGATCAGACCCATCTGATGGACTCATTTGGTGATGAACAACTGCCATGTCCTCAGTGGGAGAATTAGTAGAGATCTCACAAGCATCTGTTCTATCTCTCACATTGTTCAACATACAGGAGATGCTATTTGCAGAGATCTTTTTCAAACACAATGAGCCAGATATTCAGCTGCTGCAAGCTGTGACTTCACTAACTTCTATGAAGCAAAGCTGATTTACACCAACTGAGGAACTAGCCTTATATTCAAAATCTCCTCCTCTCCTCAAGCCATATCCTAGCAGCTCTCTGCTATTGCACTCACTTACCTTTCTGATATCCTGCCCCAGCTGACTGGTTATTTTTTTCTATTCAGGCTTCTATACTGTGCCCATCATCACAGTATCTGAATATCTAAAGCAACTGAACCTTTGTGGAAGGGGGCCTTCAGTTCCCTTCTCTCCTGCCATTCATTGCAGTCTTGTTATATTAATGATGTTTCTCTTCTTATAAATCCTAACAATATGCTAGAGACTAAGTGAGATAAAACATATAGCGCTTTTATCTTAAAGAAGAGGTTCTCAAATGGGGTGCAGCACCACCGTTAATGCCACTGCCACAGGGTAAATTGCCACGAGCACCTCTGTTTTCAGGAGGCACAATGACACCAAACTAATAAGCAGCTGCGGCAGAAACAGTGTGGCTGCCTTCATTATACTGAGCAGGCAGATGCACCGTTGCTGCCGCAGGTCTTCCCCTTTTGGCCCAATGTGGCTCTTGAAAACAGAGAGGCACAGGGCAGTTCTACTTGGTGGCAGCAGCATCTATCTCTAGGTCGCTGCCACTGTGGGGTAAAACTGCCCCGCACACCTTCATTTTCCAGAGGCACTTCAGATCTGAACTGGATAGAGCTGGCACAGAAACAGTGTGCCTGCCTTCATAATGTAATGCTGACAGGAGTGCTATTTCTGCTGCAGCTGCTTATCAGTTCAGCTCCAACATGCCTCCTGAAAACAGAGGTATGTGGGACAGTTCCACCAGCCCAACACACCTCTGTTTCCAGGAGACACTGTGCAGGCATGACCTGGGAAGCGCTACAGAAAGATATGACTCTGCAGGAGACATGCAGTATAGCTCTATCTGGCCGTGGCAGCAGTGGTAGTGGGGTGAATATAATATAATGATCTAATCAATTAATAACATTAACAATATACTTCTGCTTATATTATAATATTCCTAATATATTTATATTTGTTTTTAAATAGGGTGCCACTACATTTTGAGGTTTTGGAAGGGTGACGAATTTAAAAAGTTGAGAACGACTGTTCTGAAGAGTACTGAACCCCTTTTCTATTGCGCTGGATTATCTCTTGTATGTTTTGATCTGTAACCAGGGTGTCTTTATTAAAACCATGTTTTAAGTGTGCTGTATTTCAAAATGGTTTATATCATGCAATAGTCTAAGCCTTTGGTATGTGGTGGGGTGGTGCTTTAGAAATAAACTGATAATACAGCCATAGCAACACCATTTGCAGAGTCAAAAGAAACCACTCAGCAGCAGAAAATGTTTAGATAATTTATCTCCCATGTACAATGCAGATGAAAACCCCCTTCAAAAAAAGAAATCTATGCTCCGGAAATGGTAGATGTAATATAGTTAAGCACAAGTATCAGAACACATGACTGATGCTGCTTGCAAACATTGGTAACCTAAAGAAATCACCCTGAAATACAGCCATTAATACCAGGGGAAAAACTGCCCACATCAAGAGGAGGAAATGAAGCCAATCTATGAATGAAGCATTCAAAGCGACTCAGTAGGGATCACTAGTCCTCAGATTCAGAGCATCAAACAAGTATCTCTAGTCTCTACTGTTGTGAAAATAACTTTGCTGAATATCTCTACACAATCAAAGCATTAAAACAGAAAAATAAAAAAAAATATGTAAAAATACAAATATGCACAGGGTATGGAGAGTGCAATCTGAGGATAGAAGTTGAGACATTTCTATGAACAGGGAGAGGGCATAAGGTGTGCCAGAGTACAATGTGGTTCTTCTGAAATGGTCAACAGGCCATGGCAAGCATAATTTCTTGTTTTCTGGAAGCAGCTGCAGTGGCTCACTGACCTTCCTCTTCCTCCTTGGCCCCACCACCTCTTCCTAGCTAAATGCAAAGTCCAGGCCAAGTGTCTGCAAGAGGCATCAGAAAGGACATCACAATACTGCAGAAACTGCTGGGTGGTTTCTAAGCAAACTGTCAGACAAGAAAACCAGACTTCAGTCACCACAATCTGGTTTTGGGATATCCTCTCAGTTTTGACTAGCTTGGTTATGCTCCCTAGAAAAGCAATCAGGTCCTGCATAACCTGAACTGGAAGATTTCTGAAAGTCGCAGGCTCCACCTCAGGGAATGTGAGTCCTTCTGGCAACAGTATCCCTCCACTGCCAGCCGAGGTTATAAGGAGCAGAGATCTTGGAGGAACTGATTAGCCTTTTGGGACAGACAACACTTTTTAATGATCCCTCCATAATACAAACATATAGCACAGAGGTGACAGTAGTAGTCTTTATACTTATGGTAGTACACTAGATACCTGCAAAAAAGGTTCTTGTGAAGAGATGCACATAGTCCCTAGATCCCATGCATGCTAGAAAAACTATAGTGATTAATGTAATATATCAAGAGATAGGGAGTAAAGTAGCATTGATGATCATGCCATTGTTAGCAAAAAAAACTTCCTCATTTATTCTCAGGAACATTAGACACGTCAGCTGCATTTTTAAAAATAATGATCTTTGCACAAACAACTGCTTGTGTCATTGTCCCTTATTACCAGCTCAAACTGTACTCTTTGGCAATTAAAGGGAGCTCACAGTATGCCAACTAAGGATTTGTCTACAAAAGGAAGGTAATTTAAATTAAGGTCAGGTGTGAATTGAAATCAGACTAGCTAGTCTAAATTAACTATGTATGTGGATATTCTCATTTCAGAATCAGTATGCTGTATTTTGAATTAGTTTTGTCCATTGGATTAAGTTTAAATTAATTCAGAATAAGGCATTTTGAGTCTAAAAGAAGAGCTTCCATACAGGGTGTTAATTAGGAAGTGATTCTGGAACTCCCAGTGCTGACAAGTCACTATGTTCAAGGCTACTAGATAGCATAATGTGGTCATTACAAATTCCTCAGTAATGTCATGAACACTTCCTTTCTATCTAGCCCCCACGGGCTTTGGATGGGGCTTTGGTAACTTTTACATATCTATGGTTTTTCTAGTGTATTAAACTAACAGATTATGGTTAGCTATAAAATAGGCCAAGGCAACCTCAATTCTGCTCTATACATGATTCATTCTGTATTTTCTATTTCCTTCTCTTTACTCCTGGGCCATGCACAGTTAGATCAGTCAGCCTGGAAAGTGTTACTTTCTTAATTGAAAAACAGAAAAGTGGAGCAACACTTTCCAAGTAAAGCTCCAAATTAAGGTAGGCAAAACTATTGCTGATCTTAAAGGGAACTTTAATTGACGAAAGAGTGAGGCCTCTGCTTGAGACCCCCCAACTTTGCATCTGGCTTTTCAAATGGGCACTCCCTCTCCATAGAATACTTTGATTTATCAGTTTCTTTTTCTCTGTACCTAGAACACACAAAGGAGAACTACTGCATTAAAGAATGCTGCTGTGCTAACAAAGCCAAGAGATCTGTGCATTTTTCCACTCGTCAGGTAATAAAGTCAGAGCCCCCCAGCTTTGCGGAAACAGTCAGCTGTGCAGGGAGACCCTTTTTCTGTTCTGCCCAACCAATGGCCACATTGCAGGACCTAGACTCACCCTGCTATGGGCTGCCAGAACATCTGCATGCTCTATTTCCTTAAACAATGCTATAGTTCCTGCAGATGGAATTGGTGCTACTTTTACCAACATTAACTTTGCAGAGGTGGCTAGATTTTCCCAAATAGGTCTTTCAATGCTTTGATCCCACCTGGATTCCCCACATGACTTGGATTTTTTTTAGGTGGGAGGAAATGGTTACAGAGAGTAATATCCAAGGTGGGGATTCCACTGGTTCTAGATGGCTGCTTTGACATAGCCCACGGCAGCTATTTTGACAGTTTTGTTCACCTTTACAACAGGGAGCACAGATCTGTCAGAAACTATATAGCATCTCTGCAGCTGCTCAAAGGAGATAGAGGACTATCATTAGGGACCTACTTAATTTGCAGTTTTGCAGATTTCGTGGAAACCGTGAAATCTGGGATTGTCTGTGAAATCAGCAAAAAGAAAAATGTTAATAAAAATAAAATGCTGGCTCCCCAGTGGGAGCCAGCGGTCCTCACTGCTGGGAAGGAAAGGAATGGGTTGGTGGGGCAGCTTGAAGGGCAGCAGACAAAATGGTGGCTGCTCCTTCGTCCTTCCTTTCTTTGCCGGTGCCACTGCACCAGTCAGAGTCAAGAGATGGGCCCACTGTGAAATGCCTGCAAAATTGGCTCTGCACACTACAAGCAGGCTGCAAAAAACCCTTTGTCTCACCACTATTTAGGGAGGTCTCTAGCTATTGTCTCTAACATATTAAGGGTCTGATCAGAGCTGGCCTTAGGGGTGGGCGACATGGGTGATTGCCTAGGGCACCATGGCCAGGGGGCACCACATACACACACATGGGTGTTGTGACTGGTAGGTAGTGGTACCAGTCTGGAATGTTGTTCAGGGCCCTGAACAATGCTGGGGCACGGGTGGTGGGAGGGAAGGGGCCCCGGCACATTGGGGTGGGCTGCCTGGGATTCCACATGCAGGGGTGACAGTGGCAGCGGCACTTACTCCTGCCCAGGTGAGGCAGGGCAGGGCAGTGCAGCACATGCAGGGAACGCTGGGATGGGGCCAGTAGCCTGTGGAGGGGAGCAGGGGAGAGCCCCAGCCAAGTCTTGCCTTCATGTGGCCAGTTATGTGTCAGGCCCTGGAGGAGCTCCATGGTGGCTGCAGAGCACCAGAGCCCCCATGCTAGCACTCACTGGCTGCTCACGCTAGCACTCCCTCTGCTTTGGCTCAACAGGGCTGCAGCCAGCGGTCCCAGCCACAGGTGGCTGTCCTGCACAACTCCTTGCCTGTCAGACGGAGACCCTCTGCAGCACAGCAGCAGTGCTGATGACTTGGGGATGGGATGCCAGGGTGCGGGGCACCCCATCCCCAAGTTTGCTCAGGACGCCCCACCCCCCAGCGGCCTCTCCCCAAGTCACCAGCGCTGGTAGTGTTTTCCCTAAGGCCAGCTCTGGGTCAGATCTTAGGACATGTTGTGCATCTGCATCTTCCACTGAAGCCAGTGGGACTGATTCTGACCCCATTAACCCTAGGCTATTTTTTCAAGTTCACAGAGCAACTTAGCAGCACAGTTGCGAAGAGGAATGCTGCCCTGAAGTAATGGATGGGATAGTCAGGGCTAGGTGAATGCTATTAATCTGTCTTACACTAGTCTACCACAGGCTGTTTGGGGCTTCACTGTGCTAGGCAGTAGGCGCTGTACAGATACACAGTGAAAGACAGCTGTTATGTCTACTTAGCTTGTCTTTAGTGGTGGGAGACAGGGGCATCAAGTATGCTGCACTGTTCTGGGTGGGTTTCCTTCTATACATTAAGCTGTATAAGTGTGTCTGTGCAGATGAGCTAACTGTCACTGTCACTTAGCACTGCCACCTAACCTGTCCTAAGCAATGTGCAGATACAGCTTCATTGCTTCCAGTTTAGGAAGCAACTTGCCCAGAGCAACATAGCATGCATAAGGGTGCTGCTGTCAGGGGTGATGAGTTTACCATGTAGATAGCCAGTCCTTGTATCCAAAAGCTTGCAGTATAGAGACAAAAAAGGGGAAGTAGCAAAACTTAGCTCAGTGCCTGATCCACTCACTGGCATAAGCTAATTCATAAATACATCCTGATCTTCACAATGCAGCATTTTATAGCACTGTATTGTGTGCAAAGATGCAATGTTTCTACTTTGCATCTTAATGGAATTCTTGTCTGTGGAACTACAGCTAAAAAAAGAATCATGCCAAGTGTTACTAATTTTTGGCATAAAACTAACAGGGCAGCTGCATGTTGTCTGGAAAAGGTATTATACTTAAAATAGATTTAGGCCTGGATTAAAGCTCTTCATAGGCAGACAGGGTCTGGTGGCTGAGTAGGAAAACTCTGAGTTATTATGTAGAGACCACAGCTGGAGGCTATCCCCAGACTTGGGCTGCAGACATCAGGATCCCAGTTCCTTGTTACATAGAACAAGGAATTATTTCTTTACAAGAAATAATGGCCACAAGCTAGCAGAGAGCAGATTTAGACTGGATATTAGGAAGAACTTCTTCACATTTCGAGTGGCCAAGGTCTGGAACCGGCTCCCAAGGGAGGTGGTGCTCTCCCCTACCCTGGGGGTCTTCAAGAGGAGGTTGGATATGCATTTAGCTGGGGTCATCTAGACCCAGCGCTCTCTCCTGCCTATGCAGGGGGTCGGACTCGATGATCTATTGAGGTCCCTTCCAACCCTAACATCTATGAATCTATGAATAGTGACCTCTGGTCAGTGCAGGAACAGGGAGTATTAAGCCATCTTTTTTCTCCATATGTTCCTTAGAGCTTGGCAGGTCTTTAACTACTTAGTTTATATTACAGCAATGCTAAGTTTCCTCTAACTTATTTTCTTCCTCAAAGCTTCCTATGGATTATGAGAAGGAGAAAATAGTTAAGAGCAAAGGGGCATCGAACCATGTAGCCTCCTCTTCCCTGGCCTGATAACATGCTGGGGCAGGGTGGGGCTGAAGACAGGTGCTGACACAGAGCTACTCAGCAAACTTTATGCCAGCAGGGAAGTCCCTGAGCCATGAGGAGGAGGACCCTGAGGGCCCTGAACGTAATGAGATATCATCCATCAATTCTTGAGTGTCTTTACATGTGCTCTGGGGGTGAGGGTAAGGGGCAGCAGGGAAGGTGTGGGGGCGCTTTGATTACAGCAGCTCTTCAGAGCCGCTCTAGTTAAGGCTCCACAGCATCTTGTGTATTCAGTGTCCCTGCACTTCAAAATGGTGGTTGGGGCACTTTAACTAAAGATCATTGAACGATTAACATACTCCAGCAGGCTCAATTGAGTCTGCTCCAACACACTGTAATTATAGTGCACATCCCTCATGTCTATAGGCACCCCTTGTG